TCGAGCTATATTGTATGCGCACGGTCGTCTGCATAAACGAACATGTGTATTGTTCATATAGAGTGAACGGCGATGCGTCGGTTGCGTTTATGCTTGGCATATCTATGCTACCTAGCGTATTTAGGCAAGCATAGAAATATGCGCGAACCGGTCACTGAACAGAAATACGTAAAAAAAAATTCTATAATAAACTAAAATTGAATTTAAATGGAAAATAATGAAATTTTGATAGACCTTACATATCTCAATTGCTCTGATAATTGACTCTGTTCCGTGAATTGCGTTAATTGTTAGAAGCTTTGATTTTGATAATCAAAATCAATATTGAACACTTTTATGTATGAAAAATGTAATGAAATTTGAACTGAATAAACTGAAATCATTGAATAATCCAACAAGTATATTTATTCTTTTATTTTGGAATTCATCTATAGATCTATTTTCCCAAAGAGGAAAAGCCGTTGATGAATGCATTGATTTATTATAAATCTTTTGTGTGTTATGCTTTTACAAGCATTTTCCTTACGAAATGGACGCATTCACCTGTTTATGGTAATAAATTGTAGATTTGATTACGATTAGGTACTTCTTGATTGGTCATCATGACTTGGTGCTGACATTTAATAGTTGGCAACACAGTACGATTGAATCGCTGTTCACGTTTTGTGAAGAAAACTCGCAATGTAAAATAATACAAAAGTTTAAACAAGCTCAAAAGCGATGCGCCACAGTAGAGTGCAAACAGTCCACCGGTACTTGCCAAAAATTCCGTAGCACTATGATATTCAGACCGTTTTGATGGAATGAAAGCTTCTTCTTTGAACGATACTACCAAACTACTAAATGTGGAGCTGAAAAAGAAGCATTTGGATCGGATACCAACAAATGATTTAAATTAACGCAAAAAGAATCAAAACATTTAACATTCAATTTACTTTTCCAGTTTGAATTCCGGTTGTGATCTAGAGCGCGAATAAAAACTGACCAGATCGTAATCGACTTGAGTCGTTTCTGCATCATATGAAATCGACGTACAACCAGGCAAACACTTGCACTTATCGAACGCTCCCGATCGATATACATTGCTATCAGCCTGAGAACTACAAACAAACTTTGCAGCGCCGCATATTTTGGTGTCTATGGATCCTGAAAGCGTTAGGAACGGAAATTAAATAAAATGAAAAGTTTAATCAAAGTCTCTACTTGGACAAGTTTTCCCCCCTCCACTGACTTACTCGGGTAAGAAAATTTAACGCATCCGCATTCACGCTTTGTAAAATTAGATATACATTCCAATTCACAATTGTGTTGAGTATATTCCTTAAAAAATCTCAATTTCCGTTCATTGGCAAAATAGCACTGCCGAACATCAGGCATGTATTTTCGGGCATTTGGTAAACCTAGTATGAACCGTGGACTTATTGTGAAGAACGTCAACTTGCCCGGTGACACATGGAAGTACTTCTTTGTTATTTGTGGCGCTTCATTTCTGCGGAAAACATATAAAAATGTATCGATTTTCACGAAATTATGTTCGAATATGACGTTGAATTACGGTGGATGAAAGGCAACTTTAAATCCATGAATTCCGCCGTTGCACAAAGGATCAATGTCATCATTGAATATCCGCAGTAATACACGTAAACTGGCTTGTTTACCGGTACCAAAAACTCGATGCGGATACGGATCTCGTATTAAATTACCCTCTTTATATCCTCTCTCGAGTAACCAATCTGATGGAGGTTGATTCTTACCCAAACTGTCGAATATTGTTCTGAAGCGAAAAGTAAAACCGATCAAACAGTTTTCTTTTGCCCTATGTTCGGAGTGCAATTATTACCCATTGGTGACAATGTCCTTTATATTAGATCCATTGAACACATAACAAAGTCCTTCTTCGCTACTAATTATCGGATGAAAAATGTCATGACATTTCAACCATTTGTGGAACAATTTACAAAATACAAACGTTTCGTCGAAGGCGGGTGCCAATTCATTGAACACAGACATAATTGAGTCGTCCGAATAATTGCTTTTACTACTCGAAAAGAAATCAAACATATCAGGCATGATTCGATCATCGCACACTTGACCCACAATTTGCATGTACTTTAATCTATTTCAAAGGTTCGACACATAAGATGAATGTTCATAAATAAACGAATAATTTGCTAATTTACGTACTCTTTTTCTGTTAGATTTCTGGAACGATTGCCATCCATTTTACGATACATATCGGTGAAATTGAACTTTTTAGCCGATGTCTTAGTCATCGGGCAAATGGTTAAAGATGTGAAAGGGATTCTTCCGACTGGTATCGGGTTGTTGTTGTAAGTCACAACTACGGGATTCATTCGCCAGTTGGACCAGGTACTTGAGATTGAACTTGTACACAGAAGCACCGATAGCAAGAACGCGATCAACCAAAATACCCTAAAAGATAAACGAAATGACGAAAAATGCACTGAAAATATGAGAATGTCTTCACTTTTCGATCCAGTGTCTCTTTCGGTCCGTGAAATAGGAAATGCCATGAATACTGCTTTTGCCACAAAACTCCGTTAGGACGCCGCAACACTTGCAAAGAGTAAGGAAATTTTTTCTTTATTGCTTTGTACGTATCGTTTTAATTATTATTTCAATTGAACTCACGTGAGTTTCGGGGTTGTCATTCTCCTTTGAATTTTCATTTAATGCCACACTTGGCATAAGAAAATGGTGTTTCTTCGGATAGGAAAACGGTAAGTGATACATTTTCAATAATTTCAAACGAATCGGTGATTTTTTCGGTTTAAGTAGTTTGGTGCTTTTATTTCTTTACCATCAAGCGCTGGCTAAACCAATTCTTGACTCGTATAACGACAAACCAACCCGAAATTCTTCCGGTGTTCATTTTCATGCCTTTTATATAGATTATGAGGGAGAATTGTATGTGTTGAAATGAATTTTGATTAATTATGGCGTTTCTGCCTACAATGAAGATTATTTCAAATAATACGCACTATGAGTTGCCATCCAAGCGATTGTTACCAACGAGCATGTTCAATAATCGTTCCGTCAGTAACAAGTATTTAACTAATACAACATAGCTCAACTACCGCTAAACAAGGTATGGGATGTCACACT